CAAACACACCTAGCTCCCCCCAACCCCGCACGCCCCTAACATAGAAAGATCTGCGGTGGAAGTGCTCTCCAGCCACAAGTACTTGGGTGTGCCCCTGAATGACAACCTCAGCTGGGGCAACACTTCCAGCCTGATCAAGTAAGCTCATCAGAGACTATACTTCCTCAGGCGGCTGAGACGAGCTGTTCTGGAAGCTCAGTCCGCACCTCCTTCTACAGGTGTGCAGTGGAGAGCATCCTGTGCTCCAGCATCAACATGTGGCGTGGAGGCTGCACAGCTGCAGAAAGAAAAGTTTTGCAGAGAGCGATGAAGGTTGCACAGAAGATGTTGGAGTCAGTCTCCCCACCATCACAGACATCTACACCTCCACATGCAGGAAGAGGGCCACCTGCATCATGAAGCACCCAACTCACCCAGCACACACACTTTTTGCCCCACTCCTCTCATTCAGGGGGTTGTGGAACATTAAGTTTAGAACCACTAGTCTGAGGAACAGCTTCTACCCTTAAGATGTCAGACTCATGAATCTCTAACCAGGAAAATCACTGTAAAAATCACTGTAATGCCACTTCAATTGTTGATATGTGTCTTTTTCTGTGCTGCTGATTATCCATGCTGATGATTTCTTGCCTTTATGCTGCTGTATTCCTATTGCTCTGCTCACTACAGACTCATGTTCAGGCTGCTGTTTAATATTCTGTATTATTTTACATTATTAGTGTTTAACATACTTTGTATATCTTAGATCCTTGTCTACTGTTTCATTTTATGCTTTATGTTTTAGCTATTTTGCAGTGTAACTGGGACCTTGAGTGCACAATTTTGTTTTACTTCATGTACCACATGTGATGCGAATGACAATAAAGAACAATGGACCGTGAACCTTGAATCTTGATTATGTAGACTGAATGGACAAACTCCTATGACCCCTTAAGGACCCTAGTGAGCATAAAAAGCCGGTCTTGTGTTCCACAGCCAGGACAGAACCCGCATTGTTCCTCTTGGATCTGAGGTTTGACCAATGATTGGACGTGCTTCTCCAGTACCCCTGAATAGACCTTGTGAGGCAGGCTAAGGAGAATAATGCCCCCTATAATTGGAGCACACCCTTCTTTTTGGAGAGGAACCACCACCCCAGTTTGCCAATCCAGTGGCACTGCCCTCAATGTCTAGGCGATGTTGTAAAGGTGTGTCAACCAAGACAGCCCCACAACAGCCAGAGCCTTCCGGAAATCTGGGCGGATCACGTCAACCCCCAGAGCTTTTTAACTACCTCTGTGTCCTCAGACATGGTTTTGGACAGACCAACCCCGAAGTCCCCAGACTCATCTTCTTTCATGGAAGATGTGCCTCTGGGATTGAGAAGGTTCAGGATGCATTCCTTTCATTAACAACTTCACTGGTGGAGTTCAATGGCACTCCACCTTCACTGAACACAGTGTTAGTAAAGAGCTGATTTCCCCACCTCAGATGCCTAAAATCTCCTCAGAGTCTCTATCCAAGGCCTCACCAATATTCTCCTACATCCAAGCTTCTGCCTCATTAACAACCAAGCCTGCGGACTGCTAGGCCCTCCGGTACTCCTCAACTGCCTCCGGAGTTGGCAGGACAGAACTCCTTCATCAGCTTGACAGCCTCCCTACCCTGGAGTGTCCACTTCCAATTTCAAGAATGGCCACTGCGAGATGCATCGATAACTTTGCAGACACGGCTCAAGGCAGCCACTTCCAACAATTGAGGCGAGTAACATACCCCACTCTGACTCAGTGTCCTCTGCCTCAGCTGGGATGTGGTTGAAGCTGTCCTGGAGGTGTGAGTTGAAGACCTTTCTTATGGGTTCTTCTGCCAGGCATCCCCAGTAAACCCTTACTACACATTTGGGTCTACCGGGTCTGTCCGGCATCTTCCCCCACCATCTGATCTAACTTACTACCAGATGGTGATCAGTTAACAGCTCAGCTCCTCTCTTCAGCTGAGTGTCCAAAACAAATGGCCACAAATCAGATAACACAACTACAAAGTCAATCACTGATCTATGAACTAGAGTGTCCTGTTGCCAAATGCATATATGGACACCCTTATGTTCGAACATGGTGTTTTTAATGGACAAACCATGACTAGCATAGAAGTCCAACAACAGAATACCACTCAGGTTCATATCGGAGAGGCTGTTCCTCCCAATCAGATGATAGGTCACACTGTTATTTTCCATGTGGGTATTGAAGTCCACAGCTGGAGCACCTTCCAACACCCCCATTAAAATTTCAAGAAGGCCGGATACTCTGAACTGCCATTTGATTTGTCAGCACAAACAACCATCAGAGCCTGTCCCCCCTACCCGAAGGCGCAGGGAAGCTACCCTTTCATTTACTGGGGAAAACTCCAACACACAGGCACCAAGTCAGGGGGCTAAAAGTAGACCCACACCATCTCAGCATCTCAGCATGGGCAACTCCAGAGTGAAATATGGTCCAGCTCTTCTCAAGGAGATTGGTGAGCCCATGCTGTGCATTAAGGTGAGCCCAACTATATCTAGTCTGTACCTCTCAACCTCACGCACAAGCTCAGTCAGGCTCATTTCTCACCAGAGAGGTTATGTTCCATGTCCCAAGAGCCATCTTTGGTAAGCCAGGGTCAGAGCACCAAGGCCCCTGCCTTTGGCCACTGTCCATGACATCTTTCACCCAACTCATATGGCCCCTCCTGCAGATGGTGGGCCCACAAGAAGGCAAACCCATGTTGCTCATTGGGACTGAACTCGACTGGATCCCATGGGTAAAGACCCAGTCATCAGGCGCTTGACAACGAGACCCTTTCCCAGACTTGGCTCCAGGGTGGGGCCCCAGATGATAATCCACGTCCAGACAATAGTCAAGTTGTGTCTATTGCCCTCCCATGTTATTCTTTATCCAGACACTGTTGTACCACATTATGTCATCATTGTATGTTGCTTTGTGTGTTGCCTGTTTTCTGCTTGTACAGCACTTTGGTTGGCCTTGTCGCTGTTTTAAGTGCTCTATAAATAAAATGGTATGGTATGTAAAAAATAATAAAGAACACAAAACTACAAAATGTATTTATTATTAATGAATAAAAAGCTGAAACATAGTGGAGTTTTGTGTCCCAAAATACCAAGTCAGATTGTAGCATTTGATGTTTCAAGTAAAGTCCAGAATAGATGACATAACACACTGTACACACATCATTTATGGATTTATTAATTTTATCCTTCATTTTTTTATTTGTTTGTGCACACAGTGGAAAAAGGAAGAGAAGAAACTGTGATGAGAGAAGCCAAAACAAGATCAACATCAGTCCTAAACATCCATCCATCCATCCATTATCTTTACCCGTTTATTCCATTTTGGGTCACGGGGGTCGCTGGTGCCCATGTCCAGCGATCACTGTGCGAGGGGCGGGGTACACCCTGGATGGGTCGCAAGTCCATCACAGGGACACATAGAGACAAACGAGACAAACAAACATATTCACTCTTTCACTCACACCTAGGGACAATTTAGAGTTACCAATCAGCCTAACATGCATGTTTTTGGTCTGTGGGAGGAAACCGGAGTACCCGGAGAAAACCCACGCATGCACGGAGAGAACATGCAAACTCCACCCAGAAAGGCCCCTGGACCGGGGTTTGAACCAAGGACCTGCTCGCTGAGAGGCAGCAGCTCTACCAGTTGCGCCACCGTGCTGCCCAGTCCTAAACATAAAATCTATTATTTAATCCAATGCCATTCTTCTGCTCAGAATTCTGCAATAAAAAAACTCCATCAGTGTTACGGTGGCTGGGTGTCAGACCTGCAAAACTATTCTTTGTCAAATTTGCCATGTGTTATTTAAAATAAACCATTTAGAATACTTTCAAATACATTTTACAATGTTAGAAGATTAATTGTAATTTTATGTAGTTAATATTTGCTGTCAATCATGCCATGCCATCTTGGGGTTCATATCATTCATTCATATCATTTTAATTTGTTCATTAGAAATGTACAGATACTTTGTTTTAAAGAATTATTATTATTTTTTTTTTGTAGTCTAAGTGCACCTTGGCATTAAAAGAAGCTATAATTGTTGTCCGCCTCTAAATGAAATAGTTATAATTGTTCCGCTTGTGTCTGTGTGTGAATGTGTGTGTTTGTCTGTTTTTATCAAAATATATGAAGATGGCTTTCATTGGAACTTTCAGAAAGTAATCATGCTTGCGCCAACGATTGATTAGCTTAAGGAGTCGGTCCAATTCAAAATGACCACTGCAGCCAAGTGACCCTAAAAACACAAACAAATGACTGTAATGTGGCCAATTGTACAAATGCTGGGTGATAGTAGCTTAAAATAATTCTCAATTTATACTTAGAGTGCTAACGGATCAGCAAGATCTTGCAAAACTGCATGATATTGCACTTAATGTACCAAAATGACTGTTACTGTAATTTCTTTGTTTAAAGGTCTGATATGACAGGCAGAAGTCGATATGCATTCTGTCAAGGAATTTAATTACCGATAGTTATTTGTCATGTAATATTGACTGAAAATGGAAATGATGCGTTACAGGGCTACAACCAATAGGAATAGTGTGCTACTCACTGTGATTAGATTGTACAGTGTGTTTCATTGAGATTAAGACTGTTTACATTTTAGTGTCTTACAAAAAATAACTGATACTACAATTAATAATAATTACAATTAACTCACAGTGAAAATAACAAAACGTGAACATTTAATAAGAACATAAAACATAGCTCAAAAACTTGTTTTAATTGTTCCAGCTTAAAAATATTATATTTTGTCTTTACATTTAATTATTTATTTTATTGCACTGAAAAAGAAACAGCAAGGCAGGTAATTTTATTATGTTGTAAAAACTTTTTATACCTTGTGTAAATATTCTTAAGCTGAATTGAACATAAATCATTGTAAATCAACTTGTAAATAAAAATGCATTCAAGCAAAGATAATACCCAGAATCCTCTGCTCCTGTGTGTCAGATCACCCGAAGCCACTACCAGAACGCATTAGCAGCCACAAGGATGGACAGTTCGCCTCAAACTCCTGATGCCGACACTCGTTTGACTGAAGTGAACATCCCAACCCCAGATCCTCCGATCACAGATCATGTTACAACACTCATGGTCCCGGAGCCCACGACTGCCACCCTCATGCCCCCACCTAGAGAGCCCAGCTCAGTCCGGACGAGAAGCCAGCAGTCCAGTGTCCCACACAGCACCTCCCTGTTGAACGAGAAGAACCGGATTGTCCGTGAGTACTTTTGATTTTAGTGACACATGAGTCCAAACAATGATTTACAGGTAAGAGATTATGCGAGGTATCAGATACACCAAGCTTCTCTGAAAATATTGAGTTTGAAACCTTTAGAATAAGTTGTCCAGGATGAATGAAGTCCAATAATCTCACCAAGACTTGCCTCAGTGCAAATATGGCTCAGTGTCTAATAATATATCTACAGATGTTTCCAAAGGAAGAGTCTTCCATGGTGAAGAATCTTCATTGGCTAAAATGTGTGGCAGCAAACAAACACAAAAACCCCAAGATCAGTACAGCACACCTGAAAACTCCCACCTCCCATTAAACAAAAAATAAGTTACTTTGTAGCCAGGTGGGTGAGGGGCCTCAGAAGGAGGAATCAAGAAACACCAAAAAAATCCCAAACAAAGTGTAGTGAACTTGACCTGATGTCAAATCAATGACCTTAGGATCATATGGTCAGAAACTGTCATTTCATTGATTTGAATCCAGAAATACAGTTTAGACCCATCCTGAGACTTTCTTTCTTGAATTAATCAAGTGGAAAAGACAATTCTCTATGATCATTACTATTTTACAAATGTTTTGATAATCAAATTGTGTTAGTTCAAACAATGTTTACATGTTGAAATGAACTACTCATTTTTATTTACTTAAACAGTAGTAATGATTTTTATTCCTCAATTCAAAGAGAAATCAAGTTAGAGTACATTACAGAGTAATGATTCAATTTCTTGATCGTCTGCTTTGAAAGTGAGCAAATTTGTAAGTGTGTTAAAGTTCAAGCTTCGGTCAACTAAGAAGTTTACTGAAAAGAAATGTCATGTTTAACTTTTACAGCAAGATATTTGGTGAGCGACGCCACGAAGTCTGGTTTTTCCATGATATCTTTCTGTCTGTTCTTAAACAATCCTTGACTTTCCATAACACCTTACATCACAAACCACACCTCTGCTTTGGTCCATCCACCAATCAAAAAGCTCTCAAATGAACCGGAAGTATAGCCCATTTAAATATCGGCACTTCCTAGTTCAACTCAGAGTCTGAGAGTTATGAGAGAGTAAGAGAGTTCAAGAGTTTTGGAATCCAGAATGCAGAGAGTTTGGGAGTCCGTGAATGCAAACGCAGGCATTCATGGATGCTGCTAAACCAAACAAGCTGAACCAGAGACGATTTTGGGAATTATAACTTCTGTTTGGATAACCTCGCACGGCTCTCTAGGTATTTGGCTGTTCTCATTGAGACGCTGAACAGTGGTTGGAAGTGAGACTCCACGCCGGAACTGATCTATCTTCAGAAAAGGTAAAGTCGACCTTCACCAAAAGTGTACTGTTTGGGACAAGCTGAGTTCCGAAGAAGCGTGCACGTTCTGGTTAAACAGATAAATTCCCTCACACATCTCTCTGTAAGATAAATCTCAATTTTCCATCTTTAAACTCTCCTTTCTGCTAGAAAATTAATCCAGATGTTTTCATTAATGTCTGTGGTGAAGCAACGGAAAACCATGGCCGTATGGTTTCCTGGTTGTAAAGCTGATTATGTTGTTGTTTTCATATTCTGCCAAATTAATGTAAATGTGTGATGTGTTAAACTTGATTCTGTTAATAAATGACCCACTCGCTTGGTGAGTCAAAGATAATTAACGTCTCACGTCCACATTTCTGTTAAATTCAACGCACGTACATCACACAGTCCAGAAAGATGAGTGAACCCGTTTAATGTATGAATATATCTCAGCATCTGTTCATCTACAAAAGTAACAAGAACAAAAACCACATGGGCAGGGTGGCCCAGGGCAAAGTAGGTCGCAAAAATATTCAGTTGCACAACTCAAGGTCATCCGGGCCGGCAAGAGGATTCTGGAGAGACCTACAAAAGAAAAGGAGCTGGCTGAGAGATGTTCCCTTGGATCCTCTTGGAAACGAGAGAGCAAGAGGCATCACCCTGGACCCCCTCGCACATAGGAAGGAAAGACTCAACCCCCTGGACCTGCTTGATCTTGGAACAACCTCATTAGAAGCTGGAGGTGGTTTGATGTCAGCACAGCTGTTAGGCTTTGATGAGACAGCAGCACATCTGGCCTGGAGATTCATTGGGTGAAGCTTCATGAAGACGTCTTTTGATGCAAAGAACTTCAGCTCTATCCTAACTCTTCCCAGATGACAGAGTTCCACACCCTGTCTCTAAAACCAAGCCTGGTCATTCTACATAGAGCTCAATTCAGCCTCTTGTATCTGGAGTCGTCTTCTTTTGGTCATGAACCAAATCTAGGACCATAGCTGAAGGTTGGAACATAGATGGACCAGTAAAACAAGAGCTTTGCTGTTCATCTCGGGTTCCTTCCTGCTATCAACTTTGAACAAGACACCCAGAAATTTGAACAGTTTCACTTGAGTCGGACACCCCTCAAATCAGAGGGAGCATTTAGCTTTTTCCAAATGAAAACCGTGGCCTCAGATTGGAGGAGGTGACTCTCAACCCAGCTCAACTCTATGCCATCTCAGCAGACGCTGAAGGTCATGGCCTGAAGACGCCAACAGAACCGCATCATCTACGAAAAGCAGAGACAAGACCCTGAGGGTCCCAAACTAGACACCCTCTTTTGGTGTCGGTGGTGATGTTTCAGTATTTTTTTTACATTCCATCTTTATTTATACAGAGTAAATCACACTGAGCCTCTAGGACTCATTTACAAGTGATATCTGTTTAGACAGAAAATAGGATTTGGAGGGAAAAAATCCTAACAGACTCTAAATCCTTGACCAAGAACAGATTTTTAAAAATTATTTGTTTCATCACTCGCTCTGGTACGAGGCGGAGACATTCTCTTCCCTCTCCTGTTCTCCTCCTGCTTTTTGCTTTGTCTGTGTATGTAAGGGTCCCACTGCCTGCAGCCTGCCTTGCTGATGGCCGCTGATTAACAACACCTGGCGGTCATCAGCCTGATGAGCCTCTCCATCTACAAAAGGCTGCAGCCCAGTGTGACTCATCGCTGGAGCATATCACCTCTCATGGTATAGTACTGTTGAGCTAGATATGTCTAGGTGAAAAGAATTTGTTCACCTGTGTTCTCTTTTCCAGTTTCCTGGTTCCTCGTGTTTTTGGATTCTCCTCGTGACCTGATCTGGATCCCTCGGCCTGTCAGGTATTCCTCGTGCCATTTTTTGCCTCCAGTTGCTAGCCTTCCTCGTGCCCTTGGACCCTCGTTGGTTTTCTCTCTGCTACTCTCTCCCTGGACTGAAGGACCAGCTCCCCTCCTTCGGGTTTGGACTGTAAGGACAATAACCACATTCAAACAACCACTCAGGTCTTCCCCTTGGACCAATACTAACCTGTCGTCCCTCTTTCCAGGAGAGCGGAGTTCCAGCTTGTGAAACATTTCACTATACATAATAAACACTGTTCTTTTGTATTTCCCCTGTGTCTGCCTCGTTCTGGGTCTCATACTATCTGGATTCCCCCACGTAATCCTAACAGAAATGCTCCAGCCAAGAAAGACCCAGAATGAGACCAAGAGCGAGCAGACAACCCCCGGTTCCACGGAGGAACGGATCGACGGGATGGACAAAGTTCTTCATCAAGTGCTGACTCACCAAACCACAGTCCAGTCCAACCTTCAGGAGCTCGGAGGTATGATTTATTCCATTAAATGTCAGCTGCAAGCTTCTGCCTCCTCAGCTGCAGTCGTTCCGCCAACCCCCGTGGCTCCTGGTCCCACTCCTCTTGTTCAACAAATTTTCGTTAAACCTTCTGAGTTCTTCACTGGAGACCCTGACCAATGTGGCGGCTTCTTGCTACAGTGCAGACTCGCCTTCGAAGGGGCTCCCTCCCAGTTCTCCTCGGACGCGGCCAAGATCACCTTTTTCGTAAGTCAGCTCAAAGGTAACGCTCTCCGGTGGGCTCACTTGTTTCTTCTGAGCCATGATAATCCCCCTGCTTCCTATGAACTATTTCTACGTGAGTTTCGTAGGATTTTTGATCGCCCCCTGCAGAAGTCAAACGCCGCCAAGCGTTTGCTGAATTTACGACAGGGCCGTCGTAACGCCTCGGAGTTCGCCCTGGAGTTTCGGATCCTTGCTGCCCAAACAGGATGGGACGAGCCCGCCCTCCAAGGTATTTTCTTAAACTCCTTATCTGACTTTTTCAAAGACCAGATGGCCATGCGAGACGAGCCCGAGACTTTCGACAAGTTAATAGACCTCGCCATCTCCATCGATGACCGTTTCCGGGAAAGGAGGAGAGAGGCAAACTACAATTCCCATCGACCCTCGACTTCCGGGTTTCCGACTTCTCCAGGTGAGCCCAAGTCTGCACCTTTGTACTATGTTTCCCAGAATCCTCCCACTTCCGGGTTCACGACCCCTCGCCTTGAGTCCACTTCACCCAAGCAGTCCCCCTTAAACTACAACTCCCAGTCTTCCATGCTTCCTGGTTTCAACCAATCATCTTCTTTTCCTCCACGGGATCGCTCCCCCAAGCCCATGCAGGTGGGGCGCGCACGGCTGTCTCCTGCAGAGAGACATTGGCTTGTATCAGCCCGTCTCTGCATTTATTGTGGTAACCCCGGTCATTTTCTGTCCTACTGCCCGTTTTGAGGGAAACGAGAACTTCCACCAGTAAAGCAGGAGTTACTGCTGGGAACTTCTGCGTTAACCTCCCCATTCAAACTATTACTTCCCGTGGTCATTCAGACACCTGACCATCGCTTTTCGTTTTCTGCTCTCATCGACTCGGGTGCTGAACAAAACCTGATCAGCGCCGATTTAGTTAAAGAACATTCTTTGCCCACTCGCGAGATTCCTCCGATTTCTGTCGCCGGCCTAACCGGAGACACTTTGGCTCGTATAAACCTTAAGACTACCGATTTGCATGTCATAATCTCAGGAAATCATCACGAAATGACCGTTTTCTTCGTGGTTAATTCCCGTACGCCCCAAATAATTTTAGGTTTCCCCTGGCTCCGAAACCATAACCCAGTTATTAATTGGGAGCGCGGCTGCATTGACAA